ATATATTCATTTTTTGTTGAAATCAAACAAAGTTTAATTTTGGACCCCAATTTGGACCAACTTGAAAACTGGGCCAAAAATCTAAAATCTAAATACATGTTTAGATTCAGCATATCAAAGAACCCCATATATTCAATTTTTGTTGAAATCAAACAAAGTTTAATTTTGGACCCCAATTTGGACCAACTTGAAAACTGGGCCAAAAATCTAAAATCTAAATACATGTTTAGATTCAGCATATCAAAGAACCCTATATATTCAATTTTTGTTGAAATCAAACAAAGTTTAATCTTGGACCCCAATTTGGACCAACTTGAAAACTGGGCCAAAATCAAAAATCTAAATACATGTTTAGATTCAGCATATCAAAGAACCCCATATATTCAATTTTTGTTAAAATCAAACAAAGTTTAATTTTGGACCCTTTGGACCTTAATGTAGACCAATTTGAAAACTGGACCCAAAATTAAAAATCTAAATACACGGTTAGATTCAGCATAACAAATAAATATATATGTGGTCAAAGATTTTACAAATCTAATGTGCCATACTGTGCAATTAAAGATTACTTCTTGAAATTTTTCAATATTTGAAATTTGAAAAAAAATAATATTTGAAGAATAATTCTTTTTAATTTCTGAAATCTGAAATGAGAAAAAATTCTTTCCCTCAAGATATGGTCATAATCTCAATTCAAATTTCCAATGGAATTTGCAACCATAATTACCCATTTAAATTTACCATAGTGCTAACTTAATCTATTTTATAATAGAATTTAAAATATAGTGTCAAATCTTTCATATGGATTTTTTTGTAAAAAAAAAGATGCAACAAAATCAATCCCCACCTTCCTTTTGTGGTATTGAACCTTATGGTAAAATTTCACAGAGATCCATTCACTTAAACTAAAGTTAGAGTGCGAAAACTAATGCGTCTTCGGACGACGACGCCGGACGACGACGACGACGACGACGACGACGCCAACGTCATACCAATATACGACCACAAAATTTTTTTTGCGGTCGTATAAAAATGCTTGTTTTTTGGCCCCAAATTCCTAAACGTTTAGGGCAATTACCCCCAAACTCAAACCCAGCTTTCCCTTTGTGATATGGAACCTTGCAGTACAATTTCATAAAGATCCATACACTTACACACAAGTTATTGTCCTGAAACAAGAAAAATGCTTGTTTTTTTGCCCTTTTATGGCCCCTAATTACTAAAATTTTGAGGGAATTACCCCCAAAATCAATCCCAGCCTTCCCTTTGTGGTATGGTACCGTCCAGTACAATTTCAGAGAGATCCATACATTTGAACACATGTTATTGTCTGGAAACTAAAAAAATGCTTATTTTTTGCCCCTTTTTGTCCCCTTATTCCTAAACTTTTTGGGCAATTACCCCCAAACTCAATTCCAGCTTTCCCTTTGTGATATGGAACCTTGTAGTACAATTTCATAAAGATCCATACACTTTCACACAAGTTATTGTCATGAAACTAGAAAAATGCTTGTTTTTTGCCCCTTTTTGGCCCCTAATTCCTAAAATTTGGAGGCAATTACCCCCAAAATCAATCCCAGCATTCCCTTTGTGATATGGAACCTTGAGATACAATGTCAGAGAGATCCATACACTTACACACAAGTTATTGTCATGAAACTAGAAAAATGCTTGTTTTTGCCCCTTTTTGGCCCCCAATTCCTAAAATTTGGAGGCAATTACCCCCAAAATCAATCCCAGCATTCCCTTTGTGATATGGAACCTTGTGGTACAATGTCAGAGAGATCCATACACTTACACACAAGTTATGTCTGGAAGTTACAAAAATGCTTACTTTTGGCCCCTAATTCCTTAACTGTGGGTACCATAACCCCCAAAATCAATCCCCACCTTCCTTTTGTGGTATTGAACCTTATGGTAAAATTTCATTAAGATCCATTCACTTAAACTAAAGTTAGAGTGCGAAAACTAATGTGTCTTAGGACGACGACGACGACGCCAACGTCATACCAATATACGACCACAAAAATATTTTTGCGGTCGTATAAAAATCGTAATTTTATCATCAAATATGGAAAATCTTATGTTCCTGAAACTTGTTCTTATTATAACTGTTTTACAAAAATCATCAGTTCTGCCTTTATAAGATCAAAAATTAAACTATGCTATGATACAGAAACGGAGAGATTATGATGTTGTAGATATAACATCATCTCAAAAGTAAAAAAAAAAAATGGCTGGATAAGCACAAAAAGTGAGATTTTTTTTTTTTAACTGTCATTTCATATTGGGAATTTCATTTCAAAATTTCAGGAGAACAACTACGGGCAATTATAAATTTCTATATATATACACACAGATAAAGTCTCCATAAAAAACATCCAAAATACTTTATTGACAAATAAATATACTAATAAAGTTCTGGATAGACTTAAAAGTGGTATCAGTTAAAAATAAATTTATATGCAATAGTTATAAAATTTTCTAATAATGAAATATACATGTATTAAATTCAAGACATTTTGAACAGGAATATGTCAAATTGAAACTCAAATATTTAAAAAAGTATATAATGAAGGTATGCTTTTCTTACGGTACCAGTATTTGGAAAGTACATACCATTATTGACATTGTTTCAAATTTTCAAGAAAAAATCAATTGGAAATCTTAAATGTCATGATTGTATTGTATTCCCTTTTACACCACAGTTAAATATGGGTCAGTTGGTTATATATGGAAAACAACAATAAATATTTATTACAAAATTGATGTATTGGTGGTTCCACTGAGCAATAAATAATGACAAAATTGATGTATTGGTTGGTTCCACTGAATCAAAAAGTTACTGTGGTTTAAATTAGTTACAATCCTCTCGTCCCTCGAACAGAGGATTGTAACTAACACAAATTCTGATGTGGTCATTGTTAAGAGAACAACTTTAGTTATTAGAGTAGAATATCTATGAATGTTTCATTTATTGGAAGAAAAAAAGTTCAGGTCTGGGATTTGGTTGGCTAACCATAAACATATTACTCCGTGTTGAAGACAGTACTTTGACCTATAATGGTTTACTTTTACAAATTATGACTTGGGTGGAGAGTTGTCTCATTAGCACTCATACCACATCTTCTTATATCTATTTGTTTGGCCTAAAATAAACAATTAAAAATCTGTAAACATATATTAATAGATCATGACATTTGTACAATATTTGATTCAAAACTACTTTACAGAATGAAAGAAGATGCATATTTTCAAATAAACTAAAGGCTCTAAAGAGCCTGTGTCTCTCACCTGAATGTACTGTGGTTTTGGAAATCATTTTTAAATAAGGTTAACACCAAAATAGATTTTCTAATAATGATCGAGGCCAAGTTTGCTTTAATTTGTCCCAGTAGTTTAAGAAAGGAAGAAGTTTACAAAAATTTACGAAAAATTGTGAAAATTGCTTTTAAAGGGCAATAACTCCTTCAGGGGTTAATTGACGATTTTGTCCCATTGGGTTTCTATAAACTTGACAGCCATGTTTTTCATTCAATCATGACCAAACAAAGATCTTTTGTAAAGGACCCCCCATAGATCATTCCTACAAAGTTTCAAAACTATATTCATAGGATTACATTTTTGAAAATGACCAAGAATATCTCTGACAGCCATATTTTTTATCTAATCAGAACCAAATAAGGATTATTTGTAGAGGCACTTCCATACATCTTCATGCCAAGTTCAGAAAAAATCCATCAGAGAAGATGAAGATGTGTATAGAGTTAACACCAGACGGACAACAGACTCCAAGTGTTGGCAAAAACTCACACTGGCCTTTGGCTAGGCAAGTGAAAAAGAAGAAATTTTCATTCAGTACTAAATTTCATTTAATCATGATGAAGATTAATCTCTTTGAATTTGCTATTAAAACATATAACAAATATGAATGGAAATGTTTAGATGATTTCCATAACTATGTTCAGTACACATTTCATATGCCATAGGGTGTCTCATTACCTAAGGTGCTCTAAAACTGTTCAAATTGACCATATATAATTCTTTTGGTGTAAAACAGCCCCACCGCTCCAAACTATTTGTTAAAATTTCAAATTCAGGAATTTCTTCATGTCTGGTAGAACAAGAAAATTTGATATGTTTTGTTGTACTTTCTATCAATTTGTTCAGTATGCAAAGCATAAGTTGTTAATCCGTTCACTGTTTGCCTATTATAAACAATACTGATAACAGAAACTTACCAATTATCAATGTTTACTTTAGCTTAATCTTTTCTTTGAAAAAAAAAGAGTAATGAATAAAATCCATCATCTGCCCCATATTATTTCAGTTTTGGAGGGTCAATGATAATCTACAAATTAAGGAGATATGATCTTGAGGTTTTGAGTTATAAGCAAAATTTTCAGACTCCTCTTGTTTTATCCATTCAAATACATTATACTTTTTTGCCCTTTGACCACCTATTTTCTTTTCATAATTCTATAAAATACATCATAAGAAGCAACCATATAAATATTCCAGAAACATTGTCTGTCTTAAACTTATGAAAAAACTAGAGGAGTTCAGTCTCCCGCAAAATCTTAAATCACTTATATCTCAAAAACGAACTAATAAACCTGTCGATATCATACCTCTTTGATATATCTAGTTAAATAATAATACAATTTTAGGACTGACTTGTTTGATTCTTGAAGAAATAAACTCAATTGGTACATCAATGAATGTTTTGATGTTTTCCTCAAAGATTGGTTCTTATGTTTTTACCATGGTATGCACCCAACAACATGAAAAATGTGATTAATGAAGATATTATTGAAGTGTTAAATCACCTAACATTTAAGGTTCTTTCTTGACTTTATAATATTATACACAGCAAACTTTATTTTGCTCCAAGGGATTGCTGCCAAAAGAGGAGATCCTCTCTGAGCAGTTACAACAATATTTTTTCCTGGAACTTTCCCTAGCCTAATTTCTTTTTCAAATTTACTGTCATTGACTGTTCAACAGTTTCTTTTCAGCTGAACTACACACTCGCTTCTGTTCAGGTTTCTTTTTCTGCACTTTTTGGTGGCTTCCTGAATGGGTACTTCCTCAATTACTATCTCTTCTTTCTCTTCCTTATCCTCCTCAGCATCTTGCTCACTCTCATTGTCACTTTCTAGTTCATCTATAAATACAACATGTACATGTGATAACCAGGTAATTGCAGATTATCGTATCATATGAGATAGATCGTGTAAAGTAGACCAACAATAATGTGTTTATCGTTGCTCTACGCTATGCAATGTCTACGACGTCAACAATACATTATGTCAGAGAATACTAAAATCAACATTAATGTTTCTTTTAAGTGGCCCTAGACCCATGTCAAATTTAAGTAGGAACATCTGCTTTATTAAAAGTATATCTAGATCTCCTGCTAAAAAGATATTGAAAGCCCTGGTAATGCATTTCACTCACATGCACATGTATGTCTTACAAATTCAGATCAACCATTAACCTACATGACTGAATGCACACCGTTACATGTAACACTTATTGCTTCAGACACTGATTGGTGAGGGCATAAAAAAAATAATTGCTCTATATTTAATTTATTTAGCAAAAGTAGCAATTTTAGTTCCTTAATATGGGCTAGCAATCTCTTAACTAATTAAATAGGAACCTACCTTTAGTGATATAAGTACATGTAATAACATATTCAAATTTCAAAAGGATTAAACAAAGAGATCTTAATTTAGCTTGTCGAAACCAATTGTCAACCATGTCTACAGACACCATACCACTATACCAGGAGCAGGACCTATATGTCGCTAAAGCAGAAAATGTAGGTCAAAGTGACCTAACTAGAATCTGAGAAACAGACCTTAACACACCAAGAAGTTAACAAACAAATATGTCTCACCTGCAATTAAGTTAATGCACAAAATTCAAAACCCAAAATTTGACAAATTCAGTGAACCGTGAAAAGTAGGTCAAGGCAAATTAACATGTTGCAGACTAACATGTGCCCCTAGTGAATCATATTATTCCAAATATTGTTGCTCTAGGTGAGATATGGACTCAGGGGTCATGGGGGTGTGGAAATACTATGCCCGACTCGTACATTTGAACACCCAGACAAGTATTTTTTTTGTCTGGGTTGCCCTAGGACAAGTAAAATATTATGCTTGACAAAATTCAATTTAATCAAAATTTTGAAATATTTTCAAAACTTATACATGTTATAAAGATGTTTTTTATGGAAATATTCTTTATAAAGCACAAAAATGTCAGTATTCACCTCTGAAGCTAACAAAACTTTAAATAGACTTATTAAGAAGGGATATAGTTACGATACTGTTGTCAGGTCATTATAAAGATTGCATATTTTGGCGTTAATATTGATTCACTTATAGGGTCTTTGCATCGGAACTAAACACATTTATTTAAAAACCAGTTGTTGGCATGACACGGGTTATGTTCTTCTCATATATGTTATGATGGTATGATACTAAACCCCTAACGGGAAGGATTGTGACTGATATTCATATGATGAAGACATAATCTTTCAATCAGTTTTATTGAAGTCTGGAGCTGGCATGTCAGTTAACTGCTAGTAGTCTGTTGTTATTTATGTATCATTGTCATTTTGTTTATTTTCTTTGGTTACATCTTCTGACATCAGACTCGGACTTCTCTTGAACTGAATTTTAATGTGCGTATTGTTATGCGTTTACTTTTCTACATTGGCTAGAGGTATAGGGGGAGGGTTGAGATCTCATAAACATGTTTAACCCCGCCGCAAGTCAGGAGCCTCTAGCCTATGTTAGTCTTGTATTATTTTTAATTTTAGTTTCCTGTGTACAATTTGGAGTTTAGTATGGCGTTCATTATCACTGAACTAGTATATATATTTGTTTAGGGGCCAGCTGAAGAACGCCTCCGGGTGCGGGAATTTCTCGCTGCATTGAAGACCTGTTGATGACCTTCTGCTGTTGTCTGTTCTATGGTCGGGTTGTTGTCTCTTTGACACATTCCCCATTTCCATTCTCAATTTTATTTATTTTATGAAAAAGAAAAAAATGATCATCAAGTGCATGAAGTGAAACAAAAGGATCCCCCCCCCGTCCCTCACATATTGCAATATTAAAACTAAGTAAGTTCAATCACCTCCCTTGGAATAATGTCCATATGTTTAGGAGGAGTTGCGCTTACAACATGTACTAGACATATGGACAGACAGACAGACGGACAGACAGACAGATTGATTCCTAAATACCCCAAAAAACTTGGTTTGCAGGTTGTATAAAAACATATATTTAAGTCAAGACATCAATGTTCATGACATTCATATTAAATAAATCCAGAAATATATCATGTATATCAAAAAAAACAAAATAAAAAAATAGGCTTCCGGGAGCCTGTAGTTGATCACCATTCACCAGTAATCTTATTGCACCATTTGCTAGATAGTAAAACCCAACCATTTGATATTCATGATATTTAACAAAACAGTCATGACAGTGCTATTGGATATTGGATCCAGCCAACCGACACATTTTTCATTGGTTTCACTTGGTCATGGCAAAGTGTTTCTAAAGAAGAAGATTGTATTTAATTTTTTTAATGAAAACAGTGCTAATTTGCATATCGGCTATGGCGGCCATCTTGGATAGGGGACCATGTCAATGGACACAATTTTCAATGGGGACCATTCAAGGACTATTTGTTCTGGAGAAGAAGATTTTTGTTTGAATTTTTAATGAAAACAGTGCTTATTTGCATATCGACCAAGACGACCAGGTCAACGGACACAATTTTTAAAGGGGACCATTCAAGGACTATTTTTAAATTGTGTTTCATTTTGCCCAGCCCAGTGGTTCTGATGAAGATTTTTGTTCAATTTTTTAATGAAAACAGTGCTAATTTGCATATCGACCATGGCTAACAGACAAATCAATATTTTTAATGTAATTTATCAGAAATGAGTTGAGTTATTACATAATCATTAACATATAAGATTAATATACATACCATTAACATCAAAGGTAATATCATTGAAATCCTGTCCTTTAAATCTAGCAATGGTTCCACTATTAATACAGTGTAACAACTTTGAGACCTTTGCCACTTGCATGGTTTCTTCTGATAGCCTGTAAAATTGGCGATGAACTCGTATGATGTAGCCCTGGAACGTTGCCAAAATATCTTGAGATGTCTCACTAAGATTCAACACTTGGGCTAAAGTTGCCATCTGTTTTCTTAGCAACGTTGAAGTCAGCAATTCTGGGTGTTTAACATCTGCCTCTCTTACAACATTTCTAAGAGCATCAACACCTCGAAAGGGGTGTCTAGCTTCTCCAGGCCACGCGAAGAGAAAGTTGCTTGTTATGCCTTCTGTAGATCTCATTTCAATAAGAAACATAATGTTCTTTTTCATTGTTTCTGTTAGTAAAACTAGCACTTTTCTGTTTTTCTTGCCTATAATTTCCACCCTTAGATGGGTTTTGCATAGATTCTTTTCAAATTCTGTAAGAGTGCTTAAAACTACATTGTCAACAACTCCTCCACACTGAGAATCTTGAAAATTCTTTAATGTCATTCTTTCAGTTTCCCCTCCACTTTTACGGTTGAAAAGAATTATCTGTGCAAGAATAAGTTGGCAATATTCCCTATAGCAATCACTTGTTAGTTCTAGTTCTTTACACCTTCTATCTATATATTTGCTGATTTTAACAACATCCTCAACTAAAGGTAGTAACTTACGTTTATTGTATTTGTTCATTTGTAATGTTCTTATTGCTTTTGCAGATATGTCTTTTGTCCACCCTAGGTCATATAACTTTAAAAAAGTTTCTGCAATTTCTCCTCCTTCTGAGTCTCCTGTTTTCAATTTCTGAAAAAGAATGTCGTCTGCAATATTCTTGAGAGACTGGCCAACTTTACAGGCCAGGGATGGAATTCCAAAAGTATTTGAAGTTGGCTCAAATTGACACAGTTCTTGCACTGAACTAATAAGAGTATTCCAATTAGAATTTCCAATAGCTTCATATATAGATGAAATGCCATGTTTTCTTAATTCAATAAGTAATCTTCCAAGTTCCCTCATTTTGTTATTTATATAAACATGCCGATGAGTCTGATTCCCATGATCAACGTACATGTTCATTCCCAACAGTATAATGTCAGGATCTGATAAAACAGCTGCTTTCACCTGATCATCACGCATATTGTCAAGTATATTATTACTGAATACTTGTGAACTGCAACTTGTCGGCATAAGTTTTTTTCCAATTTTCAAAGCTGAACTTTCATTACCTTCTTTACTCTTGGTTTTGTTTTCTGATTCACCACACTTTTTGTAATGTCTCCATAGTTCGCTTTTGCGGTACATACCATGACAAAATCAACAAGGTATTAGTTTGACATCATCTTCTTTGGAGGATCGGCATTTTGGAATAACTTCCCCTTTCCCTGATTCATAAACGTCATAATTATGTGCAAAGTCCCCTTCATTGACAAGCTTTTCCCATTGCTTTCTTCTTTCAGCTGACTTTTTTGGTAGTGCTAAGATTTTCCTAACTTTAATTTCTTTGCCATGTTTTCTTTCCAAATGTCTAGCAATATTTGGATACATTTTGTTGCAATACACACAACAATGCTTCTTGTTCTCTCGAGTTCCTTTCATAGTTTTATTTTCTATAGTTTGAAAAGTTATTCCAATTTTAGGTAGATAAAGTGCAGGATATTCTTGATCAGGATAATCTCTTTCATCAACAGAGGGCTCTACTCTATCTGTCAACAATAAGATTTATATATTAATCAAAATAGTTTGATGTTGTAAATGTCATATTATAAAGAGACATAACTTAAGAACGGTAAAAGTGACACTACCCAAATTTGTACTTGATCTGAGTTTTGTAATAAGCATTGTGTATAAGTTTCATAACATTTAGTTTAGGCAAACTTAAGTAAGAGAACGGAAACAATAAAATCAGCAATTTTTCCATTTGTAAAGGGGCATAACTCTAGAGCAGAAGACGTGACGCCACCCAAATTCAAACTCAATCTGTGCTTTGTGGTAATAAGCATTGTGTATAAGCTTCATAACATTTGGTTGAGGCAAACTAAAGTTAGAGAACAAAAACGAAATATTCAGTATTTTTTCTATTTGTAAAGGGGCATAACTCTAGAACGGTTTAAGTGACTCAACCCAAATTCAAACTTGATCTGTGTTTTGTGGTAATAAGCATTGTGTATAAGTTTCACAACATTTAGTTGAGGCAAACTTAAGTAAGAGAACGGAAATGAAAAATTCAGCAATTTTTTTCAATTTTAAAGGGGCATAACTCTAGAACGATTAAAGTGACGCCACCAATATTCAAACTTGATCTGTGTTTTGTGGTAATAAGCATTGTGTATAAGTTTCATAACATTTGGTGCTGGCAAACTAAACTTAGAGAATGGAAACGAAAAATTCAGCAATTTTTCCATTGGTAAAGGGGCATAACTCTAGAACAGTAAAAGTGACGCCACCAAAATTCAAACTTGATCCGTGTCTTGTGGTAATAAGCATTGTGTATAAGTTTAATAACATTTTGTTGAGGAAAACTAAAGTTAGAGAACGGAAACCAATTTTGGGACGTACGGACGTACGTACAGACGGACAAGGGTAAAACTTAATGCCCCCTCCACCACGGCGGGGGCATAAAAATACTACAATCCATTGTGTTCTCCTTTTGACCAGCTATACCAAGTGGACCAACAATCATTTTTCACTGGTCTGTATTTAAATTCGCCAAATCTGGTATTTTCACTTTTTTTCTGTTTGTTGACGAGAATATTAAGTTATTGCAAGAAAATAGTTAGTCCCATTTTACAACCATTTAAGGTAGATAGATACTATCCTCTGGGCATCTATCGAAAAATTTCAAATGAGATATATATAAAAGTTCACTTTTGCAAATATTTGAAAATGCTGCATATCATTCCGGACTGTAATGTTTCCCAATAAAAATATGTGTCATTACAATTTTTGTATAATTTAGAATTGTTTCAAATTGAATAAAACAAAAGGGGAAATATTTTTCCTAAAGAAAACTAAGTCTATTTATTATATTATACTGATATATATATATATAGAAAATAAGGTCCAGTGCCCCATTATTTTTTTTTTAAATTCCAAATCCAACTTTCTGGTATAAAGTTCAAAGCCTTTGTGCCTGACGATTTGTTTTTAAAGGGCAAAATATGTGTTTTCTCTATTTATAAAAAAAAGAAATTATATCTCAAAGAAGGTCCAATAGCCTTTATTTTAAATGTGTTTTTTTTTTCTAGATCATTGATCAAGAGAAATTTAAGAATATTCTATTTACTAGTTCTATAAGCATGATAAGTATCGATCTATCTTAATGGCCATATAACTCTGAAATGACAAACACGACGATTGTCAAAATGGAACTAGATCTTCATTTTATCAAAAGAAACTATATAACTAAATCTGAAGACAAGAAGTATATCATGCCTCAAGTTATCTCAGGAGAATGATTCAGTTCCAATGTATAACTCATTTATGACAATCAATTTATGTCAAAACCTTTAACCAAATTTAATAGAGCATGAAAAGTGGGTCACTACGACCTTTTCTACGTGCATGCTGTCTTATTTAATGCAAGTATATACCAACACAAAAGCAGGTGTAAGTTTTCACAATTTTAGACAATGAAGTATCACAAATGAATATATTCTTCATTTAAATCAAATTTCAGCAGAATTTAATTTGGTATTTTCCTTCATAAGTGTTTCTCATTTCTTGTTTTTTATACAGATTAGAACGATTGGTTTTCCTGTTTGAATTGTTTTACACTAGTCATTTTTGTGGCCCTGCAGTTCGGTGTGAGCCAAGGCGTCCTGTTGAAGACCGTACTTTGACCTATAATGGTTTTTCTTTTACAAATTGTGACTTGGATGGAGAGTCGTCTCATTGGCACTCATACCACATCTTCTTATATCTATTGTAGTAATGGCGAATTATTTTAAATAACTATAAGAAGTTAAGAACATACATTTAAACACAGTATTCTTATATTTTTATATACACAAACTTTTATTCATGGATCATATTTGAACTAGAACTGGGAGTCATCTCACAAAATGATACACTCCCCCTTGTCCCACACTACTATTTATATGTTTAAGATAGCAATATTATAACTAAGTAAGTTCAATTATCTCCTTTGAAATAGTTTGGACCAAGACTATCCTCCTTCATGCACATTCTCAGGTCGTGTACTGCAACTGTATAATGTTTCATCAATATTGATCCAGCAGTTTAGGAGGAGTTGCGCTTACAACGGACCTGTTGCCACATATTGCAATATTAGAACTAAGTAAGTTCAATCACCTCCCTTGGAATAATTTCAGACCAATATTATCCTCCTTCATGCACAACCTCAGGTCAATTGTACTGCAACTGTGTAATGTTTCATCAATATCGATCCAGCCGTTCAATTAGGAGGAGTTGCGCTTATGAGACCTGTTGCCACATATTGCAATATTGTAACTAAGTAAGTTTAATTATCCATTGTTATCTCAGGGAATAAACTTAACTCTTTTTCTCCAGCCAGTTGGGCCCCAAAAATATTTCTTTCAGGGGCCCAGTTGAAATTTGAGGGGCCCAACCAAATTTTGTACTAATAAAACAAAACTTAAAAATACTTTTGATATACTTATAAAGCCGTTTTAGGTAATCCTATATGTAATGTTTGAGTCTGGTAAAGATTATGTGCGATAACTTTATAATATTTGAATTATTGCCACCAGAAACATATCATAAGATTTGACAATACTGATTTTAGAACATTTCCCACCAAAATTGTCTCCCTTCAATTTGAACTTCTTGTTGACAATATGGCTGTTTTATAAGAATCATTAAAAGCTATTTCAAATCCAAGCCATTCTCTTATAGTGTTAATCAAAAATATTATTCTATTACTTTTTATCGAAGATTGGTAAGCATACTAGATATTTTGATATTTATTACGAGATTTTGCGTTTTGTTTTTTCATAGAAGAACAAGTTGTGAGTACAAGTTTTTGTCAAAAACGGATTTGTAATGACCCACTGGACAACTGGAATACATTTCTGAAGCAATTCAGATTCAACAGTGTAACGAAAACACTAAAAAACAATGAATTAGAAGCTTCAAAAGAGAAATATAGAAAACATGTTTTAAGAAGGGGTATATGTCAAATCGTGACTTTGCATCGAAAATTTTAGTTGTCCGACCAGGTTTTGATTATCAAAATGAACTAACTGGTTTCCAGAAATCCTCTGTTTAATTTCACCGCTTTGATTACACAATCAGGTTTCTTTTGGGATCAGTTTTGTGTTTATATCACGGGGAAAGGGTAGACATGACATGGGATTCAATGAAAAATATTTTCTGCACCAGCTGGGCAATCAGGATGATAAATATATTTGCCCAGCTGAAAATCTGGTTGCGTTGGGCACTGGGTGACTGTTAAGTTTAGTCCCTGTTATCTCCCTTGGAATAATTTCTGACCAGGATTATTAGCCTTCATGCAAATTCTCAGGTTGTGAACTGCAACTGTGTAAAGTTTCATAAGTATCGGTCCATCTGTTAAGAACGAGTTTCGCTTGCAGACGGACGGACAGGGTGATTCATATATACCATCCCCCCCCCCAAAAAAAAACGTTGTAACATTAACACACAGTATTGCAAAATATTTTAATGGCACAACTGTCTTCGGCAGTTGCAAAACATTGACTTCCTAGAGATACAAAAGTAAACAAGTTGATGTCATCAAAGTCAACCATGACCACATCTTTGATAATGAATTTCACATAATTTGTTTACTTTTGGATCTCTAGGCAGTCTACGTTTTGCAACTAACGAAGTAGTTGTGCCGTCAAAATATTTTGCAATACTTTGTTGTAATGTTAATCAAATCTCCATGAAGAAATTTTTGTGTTTATATAATTAAGAACATAGGTAATCATAGATTACAAATTTCGTATCATTCTGCTCATTATGTGTAAATTGTTAAAAGACAAATATAAACCAAGAGCTACGCCAAGAGCAGCATGTTGAACTCTGTATGTTGGGTACCAATATGGACACACTATTAGTGTTTGAGTTGGCACATGCAAATAATGGTGGATTGACTAAGCATCTTTGACATTTAAAGTCTTGGATAATCAATTGGA